CCCCAAAACCCCAAAACCCCAAAACCCCAAAACCCCTTTTGGGAATATAGAAATTGAGGATAGAATGAATGAAATGGGATTAGAAATTGAGCTTTTTAGTAGATTTGCGGTTCTTCCTTTTCTCCCACATCTTGCGGTCTCGCTCCTTCTTCTTGTCGTCTCTTTCGTCAATATCAGATAGATCGAATTCTTCAAAGTCTTCTTCTTCGTTGTCGCTGAGGTCTCTGGGCTTGCACTTTTCATCAATGACTTGTGCTACTTCATCTTCCTGCTCATCTTTGGGATCAGGCCGCCTGATTGCTCCAATGGCAAGGATGTACGGGTTGTGCCAGGCTTGTGTGATCAGCGCCATCAGTTTCTTGACCATCACTTTTTCTAAAGCCGAGTTCGGAGATATTCACACCAAAAGCTGCAGGCTGCCATGGAGCTCCATTTCGGTGATGATTCGTGACTTGAACTTCACCATCTTGGCTGTGCGGAGATCTTTCTTTTCAAGGTACACATACTGCTCCCTCAAGAGCTTCGCCAGGTCGCCAGACTCAACGTACTCGATGTCGGTGGGATTGCCATTGGCGTCAATGACTTCGACCTGCTTTATCAGAGGCTTCAGCTGTTGGTACAGAAAAGCAGCTACTTCATCGCTGCCAATGCTGTTTCTTGGCTTGTCCATCATTCCATTGTGCTTGGATGAGATTTCGGACGAAATGTATTTGAGAATCCTGTTGATGATTCTGATGGACTTGAGGTCGAGCGACTCATAGTTCATGGCTTTGGTGCTGACTGGAAGCCCCTTCTTCACTCCTAGATTGTTGAGTATGTTGTCGATGACCTCGAGCAAGAATTTCCCAGACAAGTCCTGGATGTTCATGTTGGAAGTGACTTCATCTTTCTGTCGCTGAGTGTAGCTCATTCCAAAATCTCTCAGAGACTTGAAGAAGTCGTCAACATAGATCAGCTGAACTTCTTTCTGAAAGTAGATTGAGTCAAATACATGCTTCTTGATGATGGATATCAGTGGAGTTTTCTTCTCACGAAGCAGCTCTGCAAGATTAAAGAAGAACTTCCTCATGATTTCTTCCGAAGTCAGAGTGCCTTCACCAGAAGAGTCCTCGAACATGGTCTGGCCTCTGCTGAATTTTTGGATTCGTTCGCTCAGTCGCTTGTTGAAGTAGGTGATGATGGCTTTTCTGAGTTTGTACTTGAGCGAATTCTTGTCAACTCCAGCATCATCTTGATCCTGGATGAGGTCAATTTGACCGACTTTGAGTGATGTTCGAGGCTTTTGAAACTTGTTTGCTTTGGGAGTGTTAATAGCTTTGTTAGTTCAGAATTCTTCTAGAACTCTCGGGTTGATTACTTCGACCGATCCGCTCTTGTTCATGAAATATGCAACGAGTCACTGCTTGTCTACATTGATTCTGCATCCAGAAATGGTGCTCAACAACAAGTCAGGCGCAACTCCGCTTTTACTTGCAAAGATCTGGAGGATGTTGAGGAGTTCGCTCTTGTGTTCTTTGGCATCATACTGCTCTATTTCGTGGATAACTTGTTTGAAGTCGCTGCTTGTGTAGCCTTTGACTTGCTTGACCGTGTTGTTGTAGTTGGCAATGACAGTGGCTTTACTAGCAGGCTTTCCTTGAGTATCAAGCAAGTGCTGAGAAATCAGTGAGCCTTTCTTTGATGACAACAATGATAACACTTTGCTCTTGCTCAGAAACTGTTCGAAAATCGGAGACACTTCGCTAGAAGACACTTCTGATGGTAGCTTTTTAAGTGCTGTAATGATCTGTTCACTAAACGATTGGTGCACTGCTCTAAACAGTAATTTAGCTTTTGACAAATTAATTTAACCCTTGAGCTCATACCTGATTGCGTTGACAGTACATTGTTCACAACTATTCACTAACACAAAATCTCTGGCTCTTGGCTTGGCTAGAATGCAGTTAAGATGCAAAGCACAAATGAAATAACAAGCAATAGCACAAAATTAGGATGTTTATATCGCTCATGAAATGGATACACCGTTGTGTAGCCATAGCATAAACACAACAATGAGATTGCATTGTCTATTTTAAGCTACTCCATTTGTGTGAGTGACCAGAACCACTTTCTCAAATCAAAATGTACATGCTTACTCAACTTTGTTTCTTCATGCAATGCTTTGCTTGTTAAATTATGACTTGCTTTGGTGCTTTGATGAGCACTAAGGACTCAAGAAGCTTTGACCTTGGTCTAAACATGTCAGAACAACACAGAACACAATTAGAGTACAAGACTTCAAACTACTAGAACTGTCAAGCCAGCCAAAATTGTTCGTAGCCAGTGAGGGACAATAAGGCGACAGTAAGGTGGGCCTTGAGCTTACTTCATTGTCTTTGGTTTTCAAAGTCTGTTCTAGTTGTGCGACCTTGCTCTCCAGCTCTAAAAGTCAGCCTCCAGCTCACCTGCAACCTTCTTCTGCAGCGCCGCCACGGTTCCTCGAGTCTGGTCGGCTTTGGCTCCCGGACTCCTAAAGCTGAATGACTGCTTACCTATGTCTGGGGTTTCGGTCAACCGAGTACTTCATGGCCAGCTCCTGGATCTTCTCATTGGCGTCTGCCAGCTTGCGATCGCGAGCCTTGAGCTGGCTGCGGAGCCGAGTGTTTTCTTCCCGCACAGACTGGTACTGCAGCTTGAGCGAAAAGGCTTCTCCGCTAAGCAAGTCTGACTGCTGCTGGATCATGCGCTGCTTCTTGCCTCTGCTGGAGTTCTTCTTCAGAAGTCGCGTCGACAGCAGACGGTTTCTGGCTTCAGCATCGATTTTGAAGTTGGCTAAAGGTCAGAAAGTGAATACTCGTGGACAGTCTGATTCGCGAAGTTTTCTTGGTTGAAGGTCGCTTGCTGAGAGAAGGGTTGTTCGAAAACGTGTGGGAAACTGCTGGATCTGCAATATCAAAAGAATCCACAGTGTTGTCATTGTTCAAGGTTGGGTTTTTATATGTTCCTCTGAATGACTTTTGACTGCTTACAGCTGCATTAGAATTATCTCTACTTTTGGTTCTCATCTTTCTTCTTGAAGATTTTGGTTTTCCAGTCAAAAATTTATTGGTTTTCTTAAAACCCTGAAAATCAAAAGATGGTTTAAATCGTCTCTAAAAATACACTTAAAGTATTACCTGTGCTTGCATATAGGTTGCGAACGCATTATTCTGATTTAATCATTTAAATGACCTAGATTAAGTTATATTAGTCAAAAATAAAGAGCTGCATCTTGATGATACCTGCTAGATGTTAAGAGCTTACCTCTTATGGCCACTTGTCATTGCCTTTATCCTCCTTGACAACAATTGGTTTGAGTCCATGCCTAAAATTGTTAGACCATAAAATGACATTATGAATACTTACTATTTTTTATTTTATAAATTTCAATCAAATATAGAAAATAAGGGGTTTTGGGGTTTTGGGGTTTTGGGGTTTTGGGGTTTTGGGGTTTTGGGG